ATCGCCTTTTCAGTTTTGTAAAAAGCAAAAGAAACTGATAAAAATTTCAAAAGTTAAAATCCTTCGAGATGTAGTTATGTTACCACATCTACTAGTTAGGAAAATTTAAAAACTTAAATTTGGACATGTTTTCCAAAAAGTGCAGGGAAAATGTAAAACGACTATAACTTTTGCATACGATGTCAGAAAAAAAACATATAATATATCAAAATGTTCAGCATGAAAATCCGCATCCGATTTTGACGGCCTACGGCCTGTTTGCAAATTTTTAGAATCCTCAAATTCTAAAAGGAAAAAAAGTTATGCTCAAATTTCATTTTTTTTTGAATTTTTGTTAAATCTGGTCAAACTATGGTCAAACTACTTATTCAAAAAGTATTAGTGTTACTAAATAATTATTCAAGAATATTAGTGTTACTAAATAATTATTTCAGTTTTTTTTGAATTTTGGTCAAATCTGGTCAAACTGTGGTCAAACAATGGTCAAACTACTTATTCAAAAAATATTAGTGTTACTAAATAATTATTTCTGTTTTTTTTAAATTTTGGTCAAATCTGGTCAAACTATGGTCAAACTGTGGTCAAACTACTTATTCGAGAAATATTAGTGTTACTAAATAAATATTGTTTTCTAGAACAATAGTTTCAAACTCAAACAGTGAAATGTGTGACTTCATGCTCAAGCTAAATTCCTGAGGTTAATAGGATTGACATCCTACTATTGTCAGGAAAACAACAAGTGCAGACTTGGAAAGGAGGGAGAATAGAACCCGGAAGTTAAGCGTGCTCAGGCTGGAGTAGTGAGAGGATGGGTGACCGTCCAGGAAGTTATATGATTTGGAATGATGAGGGGTGATTAGAGATTAGAAGTTAAATTCAGCAGTGATGAGGGGTGATTAGAGATTAGAGGTTAAAATAATTCAGAAATTTGAAAATAAAAAAATCATAAAAGAAATTTTTTTAAAAAAATCATAAAATTTCCTTTAGTACCGGTTGGTGTTACCAACCGGGACTAACGGTGGACCTCCAGGCAGCGGCCACGTGGACTTAACAAACTTTGACTTTGACCAAATCTTATATGCAGACTAAAAAAAATATAGGGGGAGTATTTTCTTCCTAAAAAAAGTCGATACATGTCCTTCTCCCCCTCTCTCATCATTTTAGGTGAGCAAAAATGCGTTCACTGACAAGGCGATGCATCTTTGAACAAGTTTGAATGTACACACTAGGACTAGCCCTTTATCCACGGCTTCTTCTTACATTCCGAATGTCTCTTATTCCTTGATGCTTCTTTTCACCCTTTTCTCTGTTTATGACTAGATATTCTTTTCCCTCCATTTGCCACAAAATGTGAGTGCAACGGGAAGTGTTGTAACTAATAAAAATCGATGCTACTGCTTCAGAAGATGGAGTGGTGTATATGCACGTATCATAAACGACGTAGTGTTCATGGTTGGAAGTTGTTGGATAATTACTATTTTTGCATTGAATTCATGTCCTGACAATTTTTGTGAATGTCTACAATAAGAATTCGACAACAACTAAGCTTATAGCAAGTGAATATCATGTTCATACATATCATTGTCGATTTTCAAGTATAAAAAAATGCCTACCACTCTTCCGTGCTACAATTGTGGTATGGAATTGTAGTCACCACTCAACAATTTCAAAGTTTTGACAACAGTTTGCATACAAAAAAAGGTGAAGATACACCAAATTAATGATTACATGCCAGCACAGTAAAAATCATAAACTGCACGGTGTATCTTCTACAGACTAGAAGGCGAGTTTTACACGGGGAGACTACTGAAATCATCAGGCATTAAATCTATGAATCGGCGAAATATATGAACATATCAAGTTGAATGATAGACAGGGATATCAAGCCAATTAATATCGTCGGACATATTGGGTTCTGCATCCGGAACATAGTTCGTACGCCAGAACAATATCGACACACCACATGTACCTGTATTCACAAAGCCACCCCTCATTTTCTATTTAGCCCGTGCATAACCCCGATCACACATTACAAGTCAACATAATATTTTCTTAAATCTGGGGAGATTTTTTTAATATATTTTTCTTTCTTAGTAACTACTCCCTTTTTCAAGAGCGTTTAGATCACTAAACGCTCTTATATTTCTTTAAACAATGTAAGAGCGTTTAGATCACTAAACGCTCTTATATTTCTTTAAAGAGGATAAGAATTTTCAATAAAATTTGGACCTTTTTTCCATTTTCATTGCTTATTAACTAAGGACCCCATTTTAAGAATGGAAACTAATGGCAGCAAAAAAAATAAAATCTATCGGCGCCGTGACGCGTCATCGGGGATGCACGCGACGTGGCTCCTTGCACGGCTTTTCTCCACCAATCCATGCAACCAACCAGAATCAACACATTACAAGCAAACATAACGTTTTCAAAAACCTTGGGGCTTTGATCCGTCCTGTTTCTGCGCACTCCCTCCGCCCCAAATTACTTGCTGCGGGAATCTGTTTTTGCAACAAGTACATTTTATTTCCAGTACTCCCTATGTTCACTTTTATAAGGCTTTGTAGACTTTCAGACATTGTGCAAAACAGCTCAATTTCACTTGTCTGAAACGACTTATAAAAGTGAACGGAGGGAGTACAGCTTTTCTCCACCCCATGCAAAGTGCAAACAAACCAGAGGCAAAAAGAAGCTTTTTTTCGTCATCCCTCCCTCCATCATCTGCAAAAAATAAAGAACCAAAAAGAAAAGGTCGTTTGAAACTTTTTGGCTCCCCCATGCCCATGTGGCCATGACCTCTTCCCCTCACACTCTTCCCTTCCCACTGCTACCAGTTCCTCGCCAGCTGCTTCCCTCCCCTTCCGCCTTCCTGCGGACTTCCTCCTCCTCCCTCAATCCCCACCACTACTTGTACTCGCCTCCCCTACCAATCCCTCCAGCCTCATTCTTGCCCCTCCCCCGCCATTCATTGCTCCGTCCTGGGATCCATCGATTCATTGCCCGGCGCTCCTTTGACTGCCTCCCTGCCGGGTTGACCCCCAGTGGAATGGTAAGCATCCCGAGCTTTCTTGGTCGGAATCCGTGGGTTTTCTTGCGCCCGTGGGCGGTGTTGCGCGGGTTTCCCGCCCGGATTTGTTTCTCCTGCGCGTTCTTGCTGCGGGAAGCGTTTGAATCTGTGGTGTGTCCGTGCGCCCGGCCGAGATTTGGGGCCGCTGTTTCGGGGGGCGGTCCGATTTGATTTGACTATGGAAGGCGCCGGAGATTGCGATCTTTCCCCCTCTTTTGATTCAAGTTTGATTTCGGTTCTGATTTGTTTCTCCCCTCCGCAGATCGGCCAGTGATCCATCCATCCATCCGCGCAGCTCAAGAAAAGGCATCCGGACGGACGGACGCTATGGATAACAACGGCGGCGGCGGCGTGCTGCGGCACAGCAACAGCAGCCGCCTCTCGCGCATGTCCTTCTCCGGCGAGGACGGCCGCGGCGCGCAGGCCCGTGCCGCCCCCGGTGGCGGCGCCGGGGCCGACCGGCCGATGGTCACCTTCGCGCGCCGCACCCACTCGGGCCGCTACGTGAGCTACTCGCGCGACGACCTCGACAGCGAGCTGGCCAACAGCGAGCTGGCGGGCGGCGGCGGGGGCTTCTCGCCGGACCGGGAGGAGTTCCTCAGCTACCACGTGCACATCCCGGTCACGCCGGACAACCAGCCCATGGACCCGGCCATCTCGGCGCGCGTCGAGGAGCAGTACGTCTCCAACTCGCTCTTCACGGGGGGCTTCAACAGCGTCACCCGCGCCCACCTCATGGACAAGGTCATCGACTCCGAGGCCAGCCACCCGCAGATGGCCGGCTCCAAGGGCTCCTCCTGCGCCGTCAACGGCTGCGACGGCAAGGTCATGAGCGACGAGCGCGGCCAGGACATCCTGCCCTGCGAGTGCGACTTCAAGATCTGCGCCGAGTGCTTCGGGGACGCCGTCAAGAACGCCGGCGCGCTCTGCCCCGGCTGCAAGGAGCCCTACAAGGCCACCGAGATGGAGGACCTGGTCGGCGGCGGCGCCGACGGCGGGGCCAGGCCCACGCTCTCCCTGCCCCCGCCGCCCGGCGGCGCCCCCGCGTCCAGGATGGAGAGGCGGCTGTCGATAGTCCGGTCGCAGAAGGCCATGACAAGGAGCCAGACCGGCGACTGGGATCACAACCGCTGGCTGTTTGAGACCAAGGGGACCTATGGGTATGGGAATGCCATATGGCCAAAGGAGAATGATGCCGACAATGGCGGTGGCGGTGGAGGCGGGCATGGTGGACCTGACGGGCAGCCGCCGGAGTTCACCAGCAAGCCTTGGAGGCCGCTCACTCGGAAGCTCAAGATCCCTGCTGGCATCCTCAGCCCATACAGGTTTTGCTGAACTTCACTACACCTGCATGTTCTGTTTCATGTTCTGATTCATGTGGATGTTGGGCTTGTTTGTTCCCTGGTCACATGGGAAATGAACTGTTTCATGATACACCTGAGTTGATTAATCTTAAAAATGCTTCTAAAGTCAAACTTTGGTTCAACCTGGATCCATAGATTAGCTCCAGTTGCTATGATTCAGTCAGTATCTATTCAATAAACTAGGAGGTTAGGTGAGATGTTAGATCTGTGCTACATCTTCCTATCTTGTCCTGGCTTCAAAACAAACATGATATTATCATATTAATAGCACCGAAAAAATTCCTCACCAACTTCTCTATTATATATGCACACTTGATATTTACCGTTCAAGTTCATACTACTTTGTAGATAGCATCTCAGTTTGATATTTACTATTGAAGTTAAAAAAAATGTGAAATGATGTTTCATTCTCCCTTGAGTTTGCTGATAGAAGACCTGGCCCTGCAATTTCTAGAATGATGATGTCCTGTTCATTAACTTGGTTTCCTTGATGCTTCCTGCAGGCTTCTTGTTCTCATCCGCTTGGCCGTTCTTGGTCTGTTCCTTACATGGAGAATTAAGCATAAGAATGAAGATGCAATGTGGCTGTGGGGCATGTCTGTTGTTTGTGAACTCTGGTTTGGCTTTTCTTGGATCTTGGACCAGCTGCCAAAGCTGTGCCCTGTTAACCGAGCAACGGACCTTGCTGTCCTGAAAGACAAGTTTGAGACCCCAACACCGTCAAATCCTAACGGAAGATCTGATCTGCCGGGGCTTGATATATATGTGTCCACTGCTGATCCAGAGAAAGAACCTCCATTAACTACAGCAAACACCATTCTGTCCATCCTTGCTGCTGACTATCCTGTCGAGAAGCTTTCCTGCTACGTTTCTGATGACGGAGGCGCCCTCCTTACATTTGAAGCCATGGCTGAAGCCGCTAGCTTTGCTAACATGTGGGTTCCTTTCTGTCGCAAGCACGGCATCGAGCCTCGCAATCCTGAGAGCTACTTCAGTCTGAAGAGGGACCCTTACAAGAACAAGGTACGCTCAGACTTTGTCAAGGACAGGAGGAGGATCAAGAGGGAGTATGACGAGTTCAAAGTCAGGATCAATGGGCTCCCTGACTCCATACGTCGCCGCTCCGATGCTTACCATGCCAGAGAAGAAATCAAGGCCATGAAGAGGCAGCGTGAAGCTGCTCTTGACGATGCAGTGGAGACTGTTAAAATTGCTAAAGCTACCTGGATGGCTGATGGCACACATTGGCCCGGTACCTGGATTCAACCCTCTGCGGAGCATACTCGGGGAGACCATGCTGGAATAATTCAGGTAGACATTCTCAGGCAGCATTTCTTCTCTTTGCTATTTCATATTTGTTGCAATGTGTCCTCTATATACCTACAAATGATGCATTATGTTTCAGAGCTGAACCATCTTGATATTGTTCACTTAGGGTAATCAGTAAGACAGATATGCACCTCTAATGAGTAATCATTCCATTTTCCTTTTGAACAAAATGCGCACATCCTTTTCAGTGTGCATATTGGAATATCTAATTATTAGACTAGTTTTGCTTTCTTAAGCAACAGTGTGTGCATATTGGGATATCTGATTATTAAGTGCTTTTTTAAGTACAACTTTTTAACAATTTGATCACAATCTAATATCCAGATTCCAGGAAAACTAGCCGAGAGTTATATTATATGCACATATGCACACATATGCTTACCATTTGTTGCTCTGTTCTTCAGGTAATGCTTAAACCTCCTAGTGATGATCCCCTGTATGGCGGTGACGGTGAAGAAGGCAGACCCCTTGACTTCACTGACATTGACATCCGTCTGCCAATGTTGGTCTATGTGTCCCGAGAAAAGCGCCCAGGCTATGACCACAACAAGAAGGCTGGTGCGATGAATGCTCTAGTCCGTTCATCTGCTGTCATGTCAAATGGACCTTTCATCCTCAACCTGGACTGTGATCATTATGTCTACAACTCCCAAGCTTTCCGTGAAGGCATGTGCTTCATGATGGACCGTGGTGGTGACCGTATTGCCTATGTCCAGTTCCCCCAACGGTTTGAGGGCATTGATCCATCAGATCGCTACGCCAACCACAACACAGTCTTCTTTGATGTCAACATGCGTGCATTGGATGGTCTCATGGGACCAGTCTATGTCGGCACTGGCTGTCTGTTCCGCCGTGTTGCACTCTATGGATTTGACCCTCCGCGCTCCACAGAACACGGTGGCTGCTGCAGCTGTTGCTTCCCGAAGAAGCGCAAGATCAAGAGCACTGTTTCCTCAGGTACATCTGAAGAGACACGGGCTCTGCGCATGGCAGATTTTGATGATGAGGAGATGAACATGTCAACATTTCCCAAGAGGTTCGGTAACTCAAACTTCCTCATCAACTCTATCCCGATTGCCGAGTTCCAAGGGCGCCCGCTTGCTGATCACCCTGGTGTCAAGAATGGCCGTCCTCCTGGTGCTCTCACTGTCCCCCGTGACCTTCTCGACGCCTCCACGGTCGCCGAGGCTATCAGTGTCATCTCATGCTGGTATGAAGACAAGACAGAGTGGGGTCAGCGTGTCGGATGGATTTATGGTTCAGTCACAGAGGATGTTGTCACAGGCTACCGGATGCACAACCGTGGGTGGAAGTCAGTCTACTGTGTCACCAAGCGTGACGCCTTCCGCGGCACTGCACCCATCAACCTGACTGACCGTCTCCACCAGGTGCTCCGGTGGGCCACCGGCTCAGTGGAGATCTTCTTCTCCCGCAACAACGCGCTGCTCGCGAGCCGGAGGATGAAGTGTCTTCAGAGGATCGCGTACCTGAACGTGGGCATCTACCCGTTCACGTCCATCTTCCTCATCGTGTACTGCTTCCTGCCGGCACTGTCGCTCTTCTCGGGGCAGTTCATCGTCAAGGAGCTGGACGTGACCTTCCTCACCTACCTGCTGGTGATCACCCTGACGCTGTGCATGCTGGCGGTGCTGGAGATCAAGTGGTCGGGCATCAACCTGGAGGAGTGGTGGAGGAACGAGCAGTTCTGGCTCATCGGCGGCACCAGCGCCCACCTCGCCGCCGTGCTGCAGGGCCTCCTCAAGGTCATCGCCGGCATCGAGATCTCCTTCACGCTGACCTCCAAGTCGGGCGCCGACGACGAGAACGACGAGTTCGCCGACCTCTACATCGTCAAATGGACCTCGCTCATGATCCCGCCCATCGTCATCATGATGGTCAACCTCATCGCCATCGCCGTCGGCTTCAGCCGCACCATCTACAGCGAGATACCGCAGTGGAGCAAGCTCCTGGGCGGCGTCTTCTTCAGCTTCTGGGTGCTGGCTCACCTGTACCCGTTCGCCAAGGGCCTCATGGGCCGCCGCGGCCGCACGCCGACCATCGTCTTCGTCTGGTCCGGCCTCCTCGCCATCACCATCTCCCTGCTGTGGGTCGCCATCAACCCGCCGTCGCAGAACTCGCAGATCGGAGGCTCCTTCCAGTTCCCCTGATCCTACCCATATATCATATATGAGTTACATACCATTTGTTCCAGCAGCAGCAGCAGCAGCAGCTTGCTGGTGGGGAGTAAAGTAAATTCTGACCGTTCCCTGTGGTTAAATTAATTAGGTGTTTTTTTCGTGTTGTCAGAAAATGTTGGATCATACTAGTAGTTCATTTGTTCTTTTGATTCTGTTCCTGAGATGTTTGGACCTGGACAACATCAAGTACAAAAATTCAGAAGTTCTCAGTGAGTCTTTTCGAAGTCCCCACATTCTTCTTGCATTGCATCTGGTTGAGTGAGCCAAAGCAAAACTTGCCTTTTTGTGTTACCTGTAGCCATCTATTTGGCTAGTCCTGGTAAAAAAGAGCCTGATCTTTTTGGTTGTGTTGATTTATGTTCAGTTTGGACCTAGACAACATCTCAAGTACAAAAATTCACATGTCTTAGAATACTTGTTGCACTGCAACTGAGTGAGATATACTCCCTCTCTCAGTTCTTAAATATAAGACGTTATGGCAGTTCAATTTAAACTGACAAAACGTCTTATATTTGACCTAGTACCATGACATACTCAGCAAATCTTGCCTTTATGTGTTGCATCTGCCCATTGTGCTTGGTCTGCAAGAACTTTTCAAAAGGTCGTCTTTTTTTTTGTCACATGGATATCTATGACCAGGTAGTAGCATATGTGTTGTTGGCTTTGGCATGACAGTGACATGAAGAGGTCAGAGCATGTGCTTGACCAGTTCACTTGAGTTCAGCCTTGGCCTGGCTTTTGTTGTAAGTTAGTGAATGCTTTAGGTGATAGATTACTCTCATCGACGGTCGTTGATAGGTGATTGATGGATAAGGACACTTGGAGAGAGACAGATGGAAAAACACGGACTGATGATGACAAGCAAGAAAATAAGACGATTTGTTGTTTGGCCGCAAGAACAAGTCAAATTCTTTTCAGCAAATCCTGACCGTTCCCTATGGTTGAATTAGGTGTTTTCTCTTGTGTTGCCGAAAATAGCACTTCATTTGTTCTTCTGATTCTTTTACTGAGATACATAAGTGGTGCAGCCAGGATTGGAGCAAAACCCGGGCCGCACAAAATTCAGCATGGAGAAAAACTTTAGCGCCTAGAACAACAACCCCAAAAATACCTTCAAAGCTGCCTGACAAAATATCCAATGTGAAAACATACTGAATGTGGCTCAGTTGCACAACAAATTTTAAAACCTAAACTGAAAGCGCCCGCATGTTTATGTCATTGGACACAGATGGGAGAATTATCTTCACATTCTACTCCGTATTTGACAACTTTTGCCAAAGTTGAAATGAAATGCGAAAAGCGGTCCTGCTTGCACAATCACTCATAGTACAATTGAAAGCAAAATCTCCACATCTTGCACTTAATTTCAGCACTTAAGTGTGTATAACACATTGACATATACATAGGACGCACAGGCAAAAACAAGGTCAAAAACACACTGTCAGCTGCCTGAAGCCGTGAGTTGAGAACCTAAAATACGGTTCAATTGCACAATAATAAACCTAAAACTAAAACTCATGCCTGCACATTCACGCGCGCGTAGTACGATCGGAAACAAAATCTGCACATCTTTCACTTAATTTCAGCACTAATAAAGTATATAAAACATTGGCACATATACACACAGGAGTAGGACATACAAGCAGATTCAAGGTCAGAAACAACAGCCGGATGCCTGAACCTTAGCTGAACTAAGGAAGCACTTCAGCTTCAAAAACCAAGCGCCATCAGTTGCCTGAACCTCGGAAGCAGTTACGAGCCTGCAGCGCGGCGGTCGCCGGCCTGGACTGAGCGGCCAGCGGCCAATCTGCGGCGGTGCGCCGAAGCGAGTGAGCAGCAGCGGCCTGCGGCTTGGGAGGCCGGAGCAGCCGAGCGGCGGTGGCGCGTGCGTCGTTGGCTGGCTGCACGTGCTGTCTGGATTGGCTGGGTCTACGGAGGCTGGCTGGGGTCTAGTGGTGGTTGTGCTCCACTGGCTGGAGTCTCTCCACTTTGCCTTTGCTGCTATTATTATTCGGGTGCGTGTGTATCTCGGAAACCATGGTTAACGGTATCCTTGTAGGGAGTAACTAATTGACGAGCGCTTCTTTCTGAGTCTCACAACTCTCAGCCGCCCGTCACGTGTCGCGCTCTGGATGCTCCTTCCGTATTTTGTTTTTTTTTATTTTTACACATGCGTTTTCGGCTTTTTAAATGGGGTTTTTCTAGATTTTTTCGACGTTTCGGTTTTTCACCGGTCTTCCTTAGCTTTTGGATCAATTTTTTTTTGGAATTTTTCTTTTCGCAAAAAACGCGTTTTTTTGCTTCCGCCAGCTTTCGCGAGAGTCACCGCCATGCCTCTTGAAAAACGGAAAAAAACGCGTTACGCGTTTTCAGTTTTTTTCCTTTCCGTGAGAGGCACGGTTTGCTTCCGCGAGAGGCACGGTTGTGCTTTCGTGAAAGGCACGGCCGTGCCTCTCGGAAACGAAAAAAAACGCGTTTTATGTTTTTTTCCCTTTCGTGAGAGGTACGGTTTTGCTTCCGCGAGAGGCATGGTTGTGCTTTCTCGAGAGTCATGGCCGTGCCTCTCGGAAACAGAAAAAACACATTTTTAGTTTTTTTCCTTCCGCGAGAGGCACGGTTATGCTTTCGTGAGAGTCACGGCCGTGTCTCTCGAAAACGAAAAAACGTGTTTTCTGTTTTTTCCATTCCGTGGGAGGCATAGTTGTGCTTTCGCGAAAGGGACGGCCATGCCTCTCGGAAACGGAAAAAACACGTTTTTTGTTATTTTTTTCTTCCGTGAGAGGCACGGTTTTGCTTCCGCGAGAGGCACGGTTGTGCTTAGGCACTCTCGGAAATGGGAAAAACATGTTTTCTGTTTTTTTTTCTTTTGTGAGAGGCACAGTTGTGATTTCGCGAGAGACATGAGCGTGCCTCTTTCGGACAGGAAAAAAACCCGTGCTCCCGATTCGGCTTTTTCGTCCGTTTTTTTCGTGGAAAAAATGTTTGTCAAAACCTATCAACATGAGATCTAGTTTTAAAGATCTCGGCGCGTGGAATTCAATGGTGAAAACGGTTCTAGATTTGAACGCACGGTTTAAAAGATAAAATATTTTGAATAAGCGGATCTACGAAAAAAGGGAAACTCCCAGGTTGCAGAAAGTGGCACACATGCAGCGCGCCACTTGTCGCAACCTGGAAAGGTGGGAGTGATCTTTGCAATGCGTACTCCTTAATTAGTGATTTCGTTGTAATGGTCACTCTCATCTTCTTCTTGGTCACTAACAAGTGATGCACTGCATGTGCTTTACTCGCACCCTGTGAATTTTTCTTTTTCTAAATTTATTTTTTTAAGTTTTATCTTTTGAACCACGTGTCATATTTTTTTTTACTGTTTTAACCATTGGATTTCAAGCATAGTTATCTTCAAAACTATTCCCTCCGTTCCCAAATATAAGTCTTTCTAGAGATTCAAACAAGTGACTACATACGGAGCAAAATGAGTAAATCTACACTCTAAAATATGTCTACATACATTCGTATGTTGTAGTCCATTTAAAATGTCTAAAAAGACTTATATTTAGGAACGAAGGAGTAGATCACATGTTAATAAATTTCGATGAACCCTTTTTTCATGAAAAAGCTGAAAGAAAAAACAGAAGCTAGAAGGATGTTTTTTTTATCTTTTTCTCTTTTCGAGAAGCATTCATCTGTGCCTCCATGAGATAAAAATATATGCTTCGAGTGGAAGCAATATAAAAACACAGAGAAAATAACTGTTTTTTGCCTTTCTGAAAAAGCACAAGTGTATTTTTCGCGGAAGTATTTTTCGCACAAGTGTATTTTTTGCCGGAAGCCCGCGCGGATCCGGCGGCGGCGGGGCCTCTTCTCCCCGTCGTTTCCTGGGCGCTCGCGAGGGGGAGCTCGCGGCGGCGGGCGGCGGATGGCGGCCGGCGCGCGGAGCTCCGCGTAGGCTGCGGGCGGAGGGAGGGGTGCTGGGGCGGCGGCTTCGGTCCGAGCTCCTGGCGCGGCCTGGG